CTTCAATGATGCCAAAGAATTGGATCTTTCGTCCCACTTCATCGAGAGCTTCTATTTGAACACCGTTGTTTTGGTTCACACATGTACTATCCTGTGCGTGGGTATAGTATGTGTACCCATTGATCTCGTAAGCTTTCCAAGATGTCACTTGTCTCGATGGCCCCGCTGCCAACCTACTGATGGTAACATCATCTGTGGTTTCTCCAGTCGGAATGTTTTGGTCCTTCAACCATGTAGTTAATCGTTACTTATGTTGTTTCATAACCCACTCATCTGTACGACCATTTCTTTCGTCACTAATGATAGCCAAGTGTTCATCAATGTATTGTTGCATCAGTTCTATACTATGGACGATACTGCAATGCGCCCGACTCACTTCTTTGTAATCATGGTCGATGAACACTTTTATCCCATTGGTGCCCTTCCTAGCCATCCTACCCTTGTGACGAGAAGCAGGTTTAATAATCCCTCTCTGTACTTTTAGGTACTCTTGACAGCACTCGACAACTTCTTTAATACTGTAACCCTCTATCATGGAGTCCTCTGGGTATGCTCGATTATGCACGTATCGGCTTAGAACTGACATGAACCGCTGGTAGGACCACATTTTATGCAAGTAACAAGGGCCTAGGGCCTCTATCTGATGAATCATGTGAATCATGAGATGTGGCATTATATAAAAAAAGCGGGAGGTATACATATCTCTAGTTGGTTTTGGGTCTCCACCACAAAATCATGTAGGTCACTCAGCTCTTTCTTGCCAATCGTCTTCTGTGAGATCTTCGAAAAGAAGTAGCACATGCGGGTGATGGCCATTTTCAAGAACTTTGGCTTTATAGCTCTGATTGCAATGGGTAGGAACACTGTCAGCATCACATGACAATCGTGAGCCTCACAGTTTTTTATTGACAAGTCCTTCATCGACACTAGCCTCTTCACATTCCATGAAAATCCAGTCGAAACTTTGACCCCCCTAAGGAAAGTGCATATCGTCCTCCTCTCTTCTGGGGTCAGGTTGAAGCTAGCCGCGAGCAGAGTGTATTTCCATTACCCTAAGGTACCGGGTGAAGCTCTGCCTTCACATTTTGCTGCACCATGTCTTTCCATGATTTCAGACCATCCTTTGTCTTGTCTGTGTCCATCAAGGTAGCAATAAGACTCTCAAAGACATTCTTCTACACGTGCATAGCATCAATGGCACGTGGGACCTCCAAGTTCGGCCAATAAGACAGATACTAAAAGAAGATTGATTATTTCTTGAAAGGTACGTTGGCGATAGGAGGTGTGCTTCTATGTTTTTTTGTTCTATCCGGATTCTTCTTTCCGAGGATGACACATATGTTTTTCACCATTTCGAACAAGTGTTGCTCGTTTTGATGACTCTCTAGAGGGGGTTCATTCTCTGGGTGTTGTCATAATATCTGAAGTACATCTCACTGTGGTATGTGTGATTTGTCTTTAAGAAACACCGGTACCTTAGGTAAACTATCTTCTTGGATGCATCCAGGTACACCCATGTAGTACCATCCAAGCAGACTAAACATCTTGTCTTCCCTTTGATCTGTCTAGACAAAGGAAACAACGCAGGGTAATCATTGGTAGTAACAAAGATCATGGCTCTACATATGAAGTCCTCCTTTCGGAACGCAGTACATCGACTCCGCATGCCTCCATAGCCTCTCCATTTCTTGCATCAAAGGCTCGAGGAACACATCTATATCAATGCCTGCTTGTTTCGGACCCGAAATGAGAATAGTGAGGAGAAGGTACTTTCTCTTCTCACATAGCCACGTTGGGATGTTGTACATGGTCAAGATCACTAGCCATGTGCTATGGTCGCTGGTCCTCTCATTGAAGGGATTCATTCCATCGGTGCTCAAGCCAAATCATACATTCCTTGGGTCAGCGCTGAATTCTTTGTGCTTGTCATCGAAGCTTTGCCACTGAGTACCATCGGCTGGGTGTGCAATCACATCATCAACCAGCTTGCGCTCATCATCCCAACATGTCATGAGTTTGGCTTCCTTAGGGTTTAGGAACATACGTCTCAAGCGATCGACCACTAGCAGGTACCACATTACTAAAATGGGAATTCTTCTCTACTTTGCATAGTTGCCTAATGGAGTGTCCTCTAGGGTTTGAGAATCTTGTACCACCTTTTTCCTGCCCTTATTTCTCTTGTTCTTCGTGGAGGATTCATCCCCGTCGTAAAGGTCATTGTTCTTGTACCAACTGGCCCCACACCTAGGACATTTATCTAGTGACTTGAACGTGTCGCAACAAAAAAGATATAGTGGTTGGGGCATGCATGGGTTTTTTCAACCCCCATTGTCAATGGACTTATTACCTTCTTCGCTTGGTATGTCTTGTCGAGAACTGAGTTTGGTTGTGGCAGCAACCATGACAGAAGACGCAATAGATCATTGAAACTACAGTCTGACCAGCCATACTTGGCCTTCAGAATGAGTAGCTCAAGCATAAAATGTAGCACTGTCTAGTGTGTCAGACAACCATTTTCAACACCATATATAGACTCCTTCGATGCTTTTTTCACCATTTCCAAATTTTCTAGACCTTTCGGGCTCTTTAGTAAAATCTTTGGTCCAATGACCCGAATCATTTCCTCCAAATCATCATAATCATCTTCATCCCCGACACGTGCTCCGTCATCATTATTGACACCACTTTCGTCATTACCATCTCAACCACCAGCATCACCAGCTTGTTTATTGCCATACTCGGGATCCATTCGTGCATCAAGCTCTGCTGAATATTGGAACAAGGATTCTAGGGTTTCGGCATCTTGTTCCTCCTCATCGTCATCGTTAACAACAACCGTTCACCATGATGAATCCACGTTGTGTAGTTCTTGACAAATCATCTCATAATCAAATGTGATCTGATGATAGTCGCATCTGTCCATACGATAAGGTTCATGCAATCTTTACAGGGACAAATAATTGTATCTTTATTTTCTGTCAACGTCATTGCATGCTTCTCTATGGCTTCAATAAATTTATCCACCTCTTCACGAAAACCTGCCTTGAACCTTAACGAACCATACATCCAAGAGTTCCTGTACTCCATCTTTTACAACAACAATCAAAGAAAATACATTAAAGGACTACTTATATATATATATATAAAGGAATCAAATTAATAATTACTTAAGAATAATTGTATAAGCTTCAGATATATATAAATATAAATCAAATATAATTACATAAAGCATATCGAACACACCATGGTAGAGGATAATTAATTAATGGCCTATTTATCTATAAATAATTAAAAATATATATTTGTTGATTATAACAAACAATTTCAAAGACAACAATTAGCAACAATTAATATTTTACCCACTATCTTTCATGCAAACCCTAGTCCAATTTCATCAAATATAAATTTACAAAAATGAAATTAATAAAACAACAAAACCCTAGATCTAGATCTAGATGCACATGAAACATCCATAAAACTAACTAATTGTTCACTAAAATCAAGAAACATCAACTAAATAAGGGTATGATCTTATTTCTCTACCTAATTTATCCTAGTACATTCAAAACTTCGGTCTAATTTGCTTCATAAGTAGCTCAAGCACCATAGAAGAGAGAGAAAAGCAAAACTCTAATTACTCACTAACCAACCTTACAACTTTTAAAAAAAGTTTGGAATAGCATTTCCTTACCTTTTACAACCTTAGTAGAGTAATTCGAGACCAAAACCTTCCCCTTAGTAGAGTAATTTTTGTGAGGTGCCCAAGGCCTCCTAAGCCTTTTTTTTTCTTGTAAGAGACCCGAGGAAGAAGAAGGGGACAACAACCATTTATACGTGGAGCATTTGTAGGGGCGGCTGGTGATTGAGCCGCCCGTAAAAATCGCAATAGTAGGGGCAGATGGTCATAGCCGTCTCTACAAATCGACTCATTTATAGGAGCGGCTCGTATCGCCAGCCGCCCCTGCTGTGCTATTTGTAGGAGCAGCTGGTCTCGTGGGTCCCGAGCACACCCACTGTAGGGGCGACTCCATCACCGGCCACCCTAAAAAAATTAAGCCGTTGCTACAAACATTTTCTGTGTGATGAAAACTCTCACAGAGACTGAATACATAATAGAGATCATGATAATCCAACTATGATCCAAATAGGGCCTTAATTGTTAGAAAGTGTCACGTTCCACCCATGATTGAGCAGATTAGATAATGCAACTAAGTACGATCCCACTTATGCTTCGCTGCCTACAGTAGTACTATATATCAATCAAGTAGCAGTTGCAACCATTTGTAGGAACTGTACATCATGCAGTTGAGAAGCGTATGAGCTGTTTCATGGTAGGGTTTAGCTCATGTTGGTCACATAAACAACTGAAATGTTATTCCACCGTACAAGAGAAAACACATGGAATACCTACAACATCCAAATTAAAAATATTCCACCAGTTTATATGTTGAACGCCTGAACATACTTGCATTTGCCTGCAATTCTTTTGCTCTTTTTGCGGGCCAAGCACTTTGAGTGCACATGCGTTTGCACCCTTACCCCTATCAGAAACTAAATTAAGAGCTAAAATTGCGCAAATTAAGAGCTAAATTAGAATCTTGTCGCATTGAGTAATTGCGACCCAGCACCCAACCACTAAATTAAGATCTAAAATATCGCAAATCCTGTCATTTTCCTATTGCAAGTTGCACGCTGTTGACTCCATCTGGTCTTCCCCTAATTTCTTTTGCCCAAATCTAATTCAAAGACTTGGTATGCTAGCTACTTATTGGATGAGCTGGGACGACATGTTCATTTAATTCATACATGTAGGGTAGGAGATGATGAACTATATGGATCGATATCTTGACCAGTTCAATGAATATACAAATTGAAGCCTCATTTCCTATCTTACACACCAACTAATACGACCTACTGCAGTTCTGCCAGAGCTTCTGACCTCGAAGAAGAAGATGAGCAGCTAAGAGCAATTCGGCGACATCTCAAGAAGCTCTCCAAAGATGGAGCTTTCTCCATGGCTTGTGTTCTCGTTCGGTTTTCTTGCGCAGGCTCTTGTCATCTTGGCTGACACGAATACACAAGATAGTATGTTTCAGTTTCTTCCTTCTGTCCTTGTCGTTGCAGTGCTCATTTGCTCATTCTGTTGCTCTTCTGTGCAGCTGCTGGACTCAACGGGATTAAAGATTCCTGGAACAAGCTGCCATCCAACTGGATGGGGACTGACCCATGTGGAGATAAATGGATTGGGATAACCTGCACGGGAAACCGGGTCACGGGCATGTTAGTATCAGCAGCTAAGAGAGATCACATATGGTCCTTTCCTTCTAGTTATCCATTTTATAGATGAACAATTCATCACTCACTCAGTTGTTGTTGTTTCATGGTGGCTGTTTTTGCAGAAGACTCTCAAGTTTCGGATTGTCAGGGTCCCTTTCAGGCGACATCCAGTCTCTGTCCGAATTGCAGACCTTGTATGAAATTTCTTGCCCTTTAAATTTTAGTTTTTTTGAGTACTTGAGCATCCCAAACAAGCACATAAATTGGAATTTTAGCATGGTTGCAAGCATGTGAGCCTGTGAGGTGATTGCCACCTATTTTTTGGCAGGGACTTCTCCTACAACAAGGACTTGGGTGGTCCTCTTCCTGCAACCATTGGAAGTTTGAGTAACCTCGAAAACCTGTGGGTAGTTTGTCCGAATTGCTCACTGATTTCAAGATTTCAATGCATGAATTGTTCTTTGACTTATTTGCTCTCCGACTCCTTTGCAGAATTCTTGTTGGTTGCAGCTTTTCTGGAGAAATACCGAAAGAATTAGGACAGCTCTCCAAGCTTATATTTTTGTAAGGAGATCAAACCTGATACCTTATGTCTATGACTTTGATCTTTTAGCTACCATAAACAAGGATATATTTGTGGGATTGTATCTTCTGTTCAACAAAAAGCTTTTGCCTATATATCTATCCAACTGTCACTTGGGGATCAACTTTAGTTTGTCTTCTACCAACTCGTTCTAAATGTTACTTTGTTCATTTCAAACATACAAAATTACTGGATTCTCTAGAAGTGACTGCAAACAAATGTCCATTCGATGATAGAAATGGAATTGCCATCATAATGTCGTATTACTTTTCAACTGAGCAAATCCTCAACCTTTAGCTCTGTTGTGTGTTCATCTAACCAGTATTGGACCTGATTGCTGATCCTCACAGCATTTATGCATTTAGGTTCAGTATAATATGATTTTTTTTCCTTCACTGCCACTATGATGGGAAAAAAAAGAAAGATTGGTCATTGTATTCCATGCCTGCAGATCTATGAACTCAAACAAGTTCAGTGGTTCCATTCCGGCATCACTCGGAAGACTCTCGAAGCTATACTGGTTTGATCTGGCTGACAATAAGCTCTCTGGAGGACTTCCAGTATTCGATGGCACAAATCCGGGCTGGATAATCTGACAAATACAAAGCACTTGTATGTACAATTCCGATCCCCAGAATTAAATTCCTTGATATTGGGATAGTTTTGAGTCCCCTGATCGAGTTGTGGTTTCATGACCATTTCTTCGCAGCCACTTCGGGATCAATGAGCTCTCAGGAACCATACTGAGCCAGATTTTCAACTCACATATGAAGCTGATACATCTGTAAGTAAGGAAACCCAAATTGTCGACTCATAATTACTTGCTTATTTATGTTGTGAAGCTCAGACAGTGGATGGCTTGTATTATGTATCCAGGCTTCTTGACAACAACAACTTTACTGGAAGCATTCCTCCTACTTTGGGCCTTCTTAATACACTAGAAGTCCTGTAAGTACATCACCTACATGTCATGACTTAGAAGAGAAAATCTAGAGATTTTTTCACTACTAGCAAGTAGGAGTACTTCTGACCGTGACATGTATGGACTTGTTCTGATGGTGAGATAATTATGTCGGCACAGACGTTTTGATAACAACTACCAGTTGACTGGGCCAGTTCCTAGCAACATCAACAACCTCACAAAACTTGCAGAGCTGTGAGTCTGTTACTCTGGTTTTTTTTTCACTTGTTGGTCTGCTGTATCAGTTGTACAATAGTACTAGGAAGCTATAACCATTTATCCTCTCTGGCTCTTTTCTGTTCACACTAGCCACCTAGAAAACAACCAGCTGACTGGTCCACTACCAGACCTCACAGGAATGAGTGCACTCAGTTTTGTGTAAGTGACTCTTGCTCAAGTTTCTCCTTTTCTTGAGTCATAAAAGAATTTTAAGTATCCAACTTCTGAATGTTCTTCCTTTCTTACAGGGACATGAGCAACAACAGCTTCAATGCATCTGATGTTCCTTCCTGGTTCACCACTCTGCCATCATTGACCTCATTGTAAGTAACCCCTCTCTACACTCCTTCCTTGTCCTACTCAAGTCCAGAACTTGTGTCTGAATGTTTCTCGGTTTCAGGTACCTTGAAAACTTGCGTGTTACAGGGCAGCTGCCGCAAGACCTCTTCAGCCTTCCTGCAGTTCAGACACTGTGAGTGCTTGCTTTTCCACAAGTTTATACTAGCACTCTATGCACAAACTGCTCATGTCAAGGAAAATATAGGGATACAAACGATCAATCATAGAGTTGAGTTCATGCTTCAAGTTCAGTTCTTGATGGTTGGGTACTTCCTGACAATCGCAGGAGGCTCCGGGGCAACCGTTTTAACGGCACGCTAACTATTGGATCAGACTACAGCACTCAGCTCCAACTGATCGATCTGCGAGACAACCAAATAAGCCAGATAACTGTCAGTGGATCACAGTACAACAAACAGCTCATGTGCGTAGGAACTGAACATTTTGCTCTAATTTTGTGAGGCAACAAACTTGCAGTGCACTGATGGCTGTTGATTCATTCATTCCTCACAAGTCACAAACATCTACTGTCTTTTGCGCACGCAGACTAGTCGGGAATCCCATCTGCAGCGCGGGGAGCAACGAGAAATACTGCACACCGCCGGGGCAATCCAACCAGGCGACGCCGCCGCCGTACAGCACTCCGAAGAACTGCTCGGGGCTGCCACCGCCATGCCTGTCAGACCAGCTCCTGAGCCCAAGCTGCGTCTGCGCCGTGCCCTACAGGGGCACCTTGTTCTTCAGGTCGCCGTCGTTCTCCGACCTGAGCAACGGGTCGTACTGGGGCCAGCTGGAGAGCGGCATCAAGGCCAAGTTCCTGAGCTTCAGCCTCCCCGTGGACTCGGTCGCCCTCCATGACCCGTCGGTGAACTCGGTGAACAACTTGCAGATGGCGCTGGAGGTGTTCCCGAGCGGCAAGACCCAGTTTGGTGAGCAGGATATCTCTGACATTGGGTTCATACTCAGCAACCAGACGTATAAGCCACCCCCTGTTTTCGGCCCCTACTATTTCATTGGGCAGCAGTACAGTTTTGGCAATGGTAAGACGAACAGGAAAAAATGTACACTTCAGAAGTTCAGATTGCACATCATGCTATATATGTGACTGTTTTTTCATGAACGTAGAGCTGCTGATACCATCCAAATCGAAAGCGAACAACTTACCTCTTATCGTCGGAGTCTCGGCCGGTGGAGCAGTTCTTGTGGCAGGAGTTCTTGCGCTTGTCATCTTCGTCGCAAGGAGGAAGAGGAGACCAAAGCAGAACGAAGAGAGGAGCCAGTCTTTTGGTTTGTACAGTTTCTCTGTTGTGCTTGTTAGTTGTTACCGACGGAGGTATAACCATCTCTGCTGCTGCTGCAGTTTCTTGGGACATGAAGAGCACGAGCGGCAGTAGCGTGATCCCGCAGCTGCGAGGTGCGCGGATGTTCAACTTCGACGAGCTTCGGAAGATCACCAACAACTTCTCGGAGGCGAATGACATCGGCAACGGCGGGTACGGGAAGGTGTACAGGGGGACGCTGCCGAGCGGGCAGCTGGTGGCGGTGAAGAGGTCGCAGCAGGGTTCCCTGCAGGGGAGCCTGGAGTTCCGGACGGAGATCGAGCTGCTCTCCCGTGTCCACCACAAGAACGTGGTCAGCCTCGTGGGGTTCTGCCTGGACCAGGCGGAGCAGATCCTCATCTACGAGTACGTCCCCAACGGCACGCTCAAGGAGAGCCTCACGGGCAAGTCCGGCGTGCGCCTCGACTGGCGCCGCCGCCTCCGCGTCGTGCTCGGCGCCGCCAAGGGCGTCGCCTACCTCCACGAGCTCGCCGACCCGCCCATCGTGCACCGCGACATCAAGTCCAGCAACGTCCTCCTCGACGAGCGCCTCAACGCCAAGGTCTCCGACTTTGGCCTCTCCAAGCCCCTCGGAGATGACGGCAGGGGACAGGACACCACGCAAGTCAAGGGCACCATGGGCTACCTTGATCCTGAGTACTACATGACGCAGCGGCTGACGGAGAAGAGCGACGTGTACAGCTTCGGCGTGCTCATGCTGGAGGTGGCCACGGCGAGGAAGCCGCTGGAGCGCGGCCGGTACATCGTCAGGGAGATGAAGGCGGCGCTGGACCGGACCAAGGACCTGTACGGCCTGCACTACCTGCTGGACCCGGCGCTGGGCGCGGCGCCGTCCGCGCTGGCGGGGCTGGAGCAGTACGTGGACCTGGCGCTGCGCTGCGTCGAGGAGGCCGGCGCCGACCGGCCCTCCATGGGCGAGGTGGTCAGCGAGATCGAGCGGGTGCTCAAGATGGCCGGCGGCCCGGGGCCCGATTCCGCGTCCAACTCCATGAGCTACGCCAGCCGGACGCCGCGCCACCCCTACGGCGGTGATAGCCCCTACGCCGACTACAGCAGTGGCGGGTTGCCGTCCGCCAGGGTGGAGCCCAAGTGAATCTACAGCAAGCACGCGCCGCGAGAACATGGGCGGAAAAGATGCACTCTTCTTCAACAAAAGCTAGCTGTTGAACTGAATGTACAGGATACTATACTGTACTTATATTAGTGTAAATTTTGGTTACTATGAACTTAAGAGATAGGTGTGCGATTGGATTAAGAACTGATTTCTCGGATAACGGGATTGTTTACATGATAATTTTAGTTGTTATATATAAACTTAAGATAGGTGTGCAATTGGATTGTGTTGACATCTCCTAATATATTTCAGGTTTGTTTTAAAGCCAAAAAAAAGTCGATTTGTCCTGTTTAATTGCACCGGTGAACACCACGGCCCTAACTACTTCATAAGTACTTTTCAGCGAACGAACAGTGTTTTTCTCTCATAATAAATCAGTATAAGCTAAATTTCATCGAAACTAACAGGGCCCACATTTCTATGAGCATGTGTTTTCTCCTCATGAGATGGTGGTATAGTGTTATTATATGCAAAACGATGTTTTTTTACAACAATATGCAAAACGATGTTGTCACGACTCACAAGTTATACCGGAGGAGTTTCTTCGGTTAGCCAGGATTCCACCCATGAATCATTCCAGCTCATCAAAGGTTATACAAATTAGATAAATAATCTGGGTAGGAATCGTTCTAGGTCACGGTTCCATGGAACTGAACATGCCCTTAATTTTATCTGTTTGAACCGTTGTTGATGAATAGTTTTTCTTCTCTGACTACAAACTAGATATCGTACAACCTGACTCTCAAAACTGGTTAAATTACCTCACCGTTGGTTTGGAAGTGCTTTTCAAGATAGTTTCCTCATTTTATAGTAAAAATAAATCAGATAAATACCCCATAACGTTTTAAACCATGAGAAATGTCTCTAAGCTTCTAAAAATCTCGAGAAAATTCTAGGACAATTTGGGACACGAAAACCCAAATAAAATATCTCGACCTTGTTCAATATCTCTAGAAGCTTCCAAGAATTAGATTTATCTCAAAGAAGATGCTAAAATATCCTGAAATTTTTTGAAAATTTCCAAAACGTTCTAACTGATGTCCAAATGCATTTAAAAAAAATGTCCATAACAAATGAGATGCATCCAGCAACATTAAAGATACATATAATGTTGAATGCATTTATGCTATGCTTTCATGTTAATTGCATCTCACGTTTTTGTTGTGGAAAGTTTTCAAACATCCTCGTTGCATCTGCTATTTTTGTTACAAAAAAATTCAAAACATATGTCCCTTTTTCTTGCGATTTTCATACTTCTAGAGCCAATTCTAATTTTTGAAAGCCTTCAGATATACTTTCATGAGCTCTAAATACCTTATTTGGGTTTGTTATGTCCCAGTCTATCCTTAGTATTTTTCTTGAAATTCTTAGAAGTTTAGAAACATTTTTCATGGTTTAAAAATTTTATCAAGTATTTACTTCATTTTTAACTACTCCCTCCATCCAGAAATACAAGGTATCGCAGGTTTAAATTTTGTCCTAAATTACAAGGTATTCTAAATTACTCAACCCAATCCATATATGCCTGCCTTCTAAACTTGTATGCCTTTTGAACACCATCTTTCCCAAAATGGCGCCTATATTTGGTAATCAAAATTAATGGCAGGCATGCATATGTCTTTTTAAACTATACCTTACTAGGAAACTAAACAAGTTGAGAGCAAAACTAACTAATTGGAGATGGGCAATTTAGTCTTTGATCGGAGTCTTTATTTGGTCTTAAAATCGCTTGGATACCTTAGCTTTTATGACAAATGGAGTATAAAAATTGATGAAATTGCCTTCAAAAACATTTCAAACCTGGCAGGAAGGTAACTTAAATACTTTTGAGAGTTGAAGATTGAGATGTCCAGTTTTAAAGTTTGATGATGTAAGGTTGAGATGACCGACTAGAGGGTATGAACAGTTGTTTCTAAACCTAGTCGCTACGGCTAGCCGATGAGACTAATTGTATACCCACGACTACACCAATAATAACACAAACGCCTTTGTAAGATCCTACACAAGGTATATATATCTAACGTGCCGAGCTAAGTGAGAGCTCACCTACACAAGTCTAGTAATAAGCAAGGTCACACAAACCTATGCAACTATACTCAAACATGCAACTAGGAGCTCCTGCACATACTAGTGAGCAAAACGAACACTATGCACAAGCTACGTGCACTAGTAAGCACTAGCACTAGAGCTAAACAAGCTAGCAAGCAACAACACTAGTACAAGATATGAACAAGTAAATAACTAGTGTTTGGCACAAACCTATGTATAACTTATGATGATTTGTACAGACTATATTGTCTATACAATATGGATGAGACTAGATTTAAGTTGTGAAAACTTCACGATTCATCAGTGATGATAAATTGATACTTGTGATGATAAATTGATACAGGGTGCGGGTATGACATTGCACCCTTGGGTCTCATTGAGGGCGGGTGTAGCCAAGTATTATGAGCGTCATCAAGGGCAGATTTTTTACTCTACCTGCACCTTAATCGACCTGTTGTCATCCCTAATTCCCCTATTGTTGGCTCCATCCAACTAGTGAAAGTGCAATCAAGATCTAATTATGGGTTTTAGTGAAAATGACCATGCAATTAGAGGACTAATGAGATTTATCAAGATGACAAGCAGGGAATTTACAATCGAACATGTTATACAAAATGGAAGAGCCCCCAATTTATAAATGGTGACGACAACAAACTCAAAGGAGGTTTAAATTCTTTTATATTTTGAATTTGAGTATAGGAATGACGTACTATAAAGGGGGACATAATAAACTTGCTAAAGTGTGCAACCAAGTGCTCAATATTATACACACACATCCTCAGTTGCTCAGCCAAGACAACCTAACTTTCACTATTTTCATCCTTGCTATCTTGCTGGTGTGCAAAGATCACTTTTTGAAGAGAGGCACTGCCATAGATTGAGCCACGGCAGACCGCTGTGACTTAACCTGACGGTTGGGGTTGGGGTATTTATACCTCTCACACTCACCTCTAACGACTCTTCTTCCACCTCTAGCGATTCAGATCGACTGAAATGTAAAAGCGCCACTCTCTCTCTTCTCCATTAGTGACCTTGAGCTCCCAAGCATTCCTTTGTGATTTGCCCATCAATCCTTGAGAGAAAAGTCTCCAAAACTCGATTAGAGAGCAGATCCACTGATTTCCAAAGCCTAAGAGCACTTGGTTCAGGTTTGAGCCCGTGGTTTGTGTTTATTACTCTTGGAGCTTGCTCCTATCCGGCTAGAGCGTCGCCCGTGGAGCTTGCCAACTTGTGTGGCAGTCCCAGTAGGTTTGTAACCATCTCTTGAAGCTAGTAAACTTACCCCTCATCTCAAGAGTTAACTCTCTTGACTTAAGATCGAGGAAGAGTTGTAAAGCCCTAAGCCTTAGTGGCTAACCTCAACAACGTGGACTTAAGCAAGCCTTGGTGGTGAGCTGAACCACGGGATAAATACTTACTTCCATTGCATTTCACTTTGTTGTTGAGGTGATTTCTGGGGTTTGAGGTCAATCTACTTGCTTACACTTGTGCTACCACTTTGTGCTGTCAATAAGTGATCTACTACCTTGCAGAAAGTTCAGTAATTTCTCTGATCTAAGTTTCCATCCTTAGATTTTGAACTATATCACGAAATTGTTTGTAGGTGTGGCAATGCCGCTATTCTAGCCCGACAGTGCCACGGACTCAGAGCGGTAGTGCCACAGGTTGAATTTGACGTTTGCTCAAGTTTTGTTTCAATGACCTATTCACCCCTATAGGCTAAATCAGAGATCCTACAAGTGGTATCGGAGCAGTTACCTCGTATGTGTTTCACCGCGTGAGGTATGGGGCCTGGAGGAGGATCTAGTGGTGTGAAGCCCATAGATGTCGATCCGGAGGACATGGGCTTGCACGAGACTGACAGTAGTGAGCTCAGCGCATCTACAGCAAGCAACACCACGCTCCCACAGCTAGATGTGACCGATGCCAAGAAAGCTCAAAACGAAGAAGAAAGAGAGAAAAGAAAGGCAGCAAGAAAAGAAAAAAGAGAAGCAAGAGAAAAGAAGAAGAAGGAGCAGCAAAGGCTTGAAGACAAGAAACAAAGAAAAGAAGAAAGAAAGCTCAAGAGAGAAGCAAGAAGAAAAAGAAGAGAAGCTAGGAAGAAGAAGGAAGAAGAAGAAAAGGCAACCAATGCATCATCAAGTGACATATCAAGTAGTTCCAAAGATGGAGATGATGATGAGTCCTACCAAGTGACTAGGGGGGCAAGAAGGAGAAGAAAGGAAAGGGCAAAGCTGACTCCAACAACAAATATGCCTCCGTATCCTTTAACTATTCTTCTATGCTTATGACTAACCATGATCGAAGGTCTTTCATCAATGTGCCCGCGGACAAGTTACCTTATTTCGATAGGACTAACTTTGCCAAGTGGAAGCAGTTGATGAGATCCTATCTTATAGGTCTTCACCCCGACATTTGGGAGGTTGTTTGCAATGGATTTGAGCCACCGGTTCATCCTAGGAATCCAACTCTAGACGAAATGCGAATTATTCATCTCAATGGTCAAGCCATAAGTATGTTGCTTAGTGCTTTGGATAGTGATGAGTACAATAGAGTGATGGGTTGTCTATGTTGCCAAGAAAATATGAGAGACCTTGTACCTTGCACATGAAGTGGTTGACAAAGTGAGGAAGGCAAGAATTAAGTTGTTGATGGCCAAGCTTAACCGGTTCGTGATCTTGGATGGAGAAGGGCCACAAGAGATGTTTGATAGGTTGATGGTGATTGTCGGCAAGATTAGAGTCTATGGTGGAAGGTTACTCACCTAGAAATGATACCATGGTGACTCTAATTAGTGACAAGAAGTTTGAGTACTTCATACCAAATGATGTACTTGGGAGGATCTTGACCTTTGACATGCAAAGAGAAGAAGCAAATGAGAGGAAGAAGCTTGGTGAGTTGCAAGCAAAGCTAGATGGCATGAAGATCAA